ACATCAATTCCTACTAGGAGACACATCTCAAAAAGCCTATAAATAGAAGCCTAAGGTCTTCTTTCAAGGGGATCGGAGATCTGAGATTAAGAAGGCGAGGTGCTGTCAAATTGACCAGTCAACCACGAATTTCAGAGGAGAATCATCAGAGCTTGGCGAACACTTTCATAAAGAAAGCCCCTTCGAAAGGTTTGTGATTCTTTTCCCTTCTTTCCTCCGGATTAAACTTGGTTTTAATCTCGAGAAGAGCCACAATCTCGCTTGGTCGTGATTGTCGCTTCCGTAATTGTTTCCCTCGTGAAACAAGAGCGTAATTATATTGTCGATCGGCTTTGGTCTGCGGTGGTCCACGGACTAACGCGTCCCCGGCACAGGCAAAGATCCCACGCAAAGCAGCGGGAGATAAACTACTGCTGCGTTTTGTTTGATAAAGTTGTAATCTTTATTTTTCGTTGTAAGAAGATCTTATAAAAAGATCAACTCTCTTTTCAGTTTGAACTTGTAATCAATAAATGGTGTAACAGGTTTGAAAACAATGGAAAAGGCAACTTTTGACACAAACATACATCTCGATACAAATCTCAACTACTTCCGTCCAATTTCCCCTTGGATATGTAGTTTTCATCAGACCAACCACTACGCCTCTCTCTACAAGCAGTACTGTAACAGCCAACAAAACTGCTTATCTTTCTGTTAATGTCACGGAAATGACTCTGGCATCGAGCTACGGTCCTTTTTTCCTACTATTGGAGTTCTCATTCACGTAGTCTTTAATTTTACCCCAAAAGGTGTCACCTTTTTTATTGTTACCCAATTCACTATCATTGCTAACGTGAAAATAACCAGTTAGCAAAAGGATGTTGTCTTCGGTGCTCCAAGTATCGTAAGTAGTTTTCTTGACTGATTGTTGGGTTGGAGGTAGAAAACTATGGGGAGTATCCCCACCAACATTTCCCAAAGATACCTGGGTGGAAAAATCTGGGATGTCTGTCGATCCACTACTGAAACGAGGAGTCGTTGGCTGGCTCGACTCTGGATTTGGAACGTTCATATGGGAAGGAACATAGCTGTTTCCAGGAGATGGTTGATACCCATAAGGAAGATAAGGGTATTGCATGCCAAAATTTGGTTGCATCATATAGGGCATTTGAAAATTATATGGGAAGGAACATAGCTGTTTCCAGGAGATGGTTGATACCCATAAGGAAGATAAGGGTATTGCATGCTAAAATTTGGTTGCATCATATAAGGCATTTGAAAATTGGGTTGCATCCCGGTATTTTAATTATTTTCTGGGCGTTGCATATTTGGATGTTGAGGTTGATTAGGAAAGTTGTAATTGAAGGGGAAATTAGGAAAGTTTTGTGATGGCTCCATGAAGAAGATTGAAGAAAATAGTTTCAGAAAAAAAAGGAAGGAAAATAGGGTGTTGAAAACTCAGTGTCCAAATAATACAAAGTTAGGCTCTATTTATAGAGCTCGAAAAATTATGAATTATGGTGCAAAAATAAAAAATTAATTCTGAGTAAATTATTGTCAAAATATCAATTAATAATTGACGATGGGGTAAAAAAGCATGGCCCAATCAGAGGGCAACACGTGTCCGCGTGCAGGACAAGGCTGTCAGCAGCCCTGCACGCGAACGCGTGTTGCCCTCTGATTGGGCCACGCTTTTTTTCCTTTCTTTTTTAATTCCAGCTGCTGTATGGTGGGGCCCGCTTGAGTCAGATTTGTGCAGAGAAAACGGTAGGGAAAATTTTCCCCTCTTTGCCTCCGTTTTTCATTTCCCTATCCCAAAACTACCTGCTGTACCAAAAAACTCTCCCAAAAACCACCTGCTGCGGGTGGTCTAATAATGAAACTGACCAGTGCTACAACATTACCGCAGTGCCACTAGTGTTGGTTTAAAACTAGTGTGGGTAAAGGGTATAAGGTTCACCTAAACTGGAAAAAGAGACAATAAATTAGCATGAAGACATTCAGTTTGCATTAACAAAAGATATCATACTCTGAACCATCTATCGCTTATTATAACCTCCTTTCCTCAGATATGGCCAATAATCAAATATATTAAGAATCCGATAACGAATATTAATTAATTTAGCGCATAAGACCATCTAAGGAATCTAGCACTAGATTTCTTGGAAATGTAATTATGGTATTCAAGGAACCATCTCCTAGTTCTCATGGAATAAATAAAAATTTAGAGAATTGAATCAAAGAAAATGGCTAAATGACCAAACTGGTATATTTTGTTTACCCATAGTGACAGGTCGGCATATAATTTTTTTTGGTACCATATTGATATATTTTCTGAACTCTGGCGACAAATAGGCCTTAAGTTTGGTCGGATCCAATTTTCCGATGAGATTTCTCACGTGAGCCGTCATGTGCTGCATACGTGGCGCAACATGGCAATATTTCTCTCCTTCTTTTTCTTTTTGTTTCAGACATTTCATTGAACAGATTGCACGCCGTCGCCGCCACGTTGCAGTCAGTCTTGTCACTCCCTAATGATCTTGTCCATCAACTCGCCAACCTTGTCACTTCCATCACCACCACTGTTTCCTCCTCCGTTTACGACAGCCAAAGTAGCATCGATCTCCCTCGCCTTCTGACTCTGGCCTCGGTCAACAACCAATTTTGATGGGATTTTGCGTGCTAATAGGTTGAGGCTGAGTGTGGTTAGTTTTAACACTATGACCAATGAGTATTGTAGGATTAGGGATTTGCGTGCTGTGTTTGGTATGAAGAGGGAGATGGTGGGGAGTGGAATTTGTCCTGATGTGTTTACTTGTACTGTTTTGATTAAGGGGTTATGTAGGGTAGGGAGGTTGGAGAATGCACACAAGGTGTTTGCTGAAATGTTGGGAGAAATGGAGAATACACAAACAACTTGTTGGCATTAACATTATTATGCTAACTAAATCAAATTATAATATGATTGTACAATCTGAATCAAAAAATAATCAGCCCACACAAACAACTTGTTGACTAAATCCTACAATGTGGGAAGAACAATATGATTTATAATGCTTGAACACGGAATCTAGTAACACTCTATCCATAGTTTTAGACCCTCGTCTTCTGAGTAATGATAGAGCAAACTCCATGAACACTGCATGGACCAAGCAAACCTTTTATACAAATAGCTGAAACACTTAAAGTTCTCGTCAAACATGTAAGAATAAAGAAGTTACAAAGGGAGAAGACTTGGAATGTATAAATATCTATTATAAACATCGATTTGGTGGAGGATGTCTATCTATCTCTTCATCAGAATCTAATCCATCAGAATCATCAAACCTCATATTCGAGTTTATCCTTCTATCAGCATAACAGTTTCTTCTGAGAACCTTCTTATCGTCCAAATCAATAGAATTCATGTTATCATCATCATCATCATCATTCATAAAGTTCGACCTATGAAAATTCTGAGAAGTGAAAATATTGGAGGGGAAGGCGGCGGTAGTGGATGAGGGAGGAGACGAGGAGGCATGAGGAGAAGGGGAGGGCGGGGGAGGAGTGAGGGTGTTGTGGTGACGGAGGGTGGAGAGGAGGAAGAAGATTGATGGAGCATAAGAGGTCGCTGAGGCGCTCGATTAGGGCTAGCTCCAGCCATACTGGATGACACGTCGGCGCCACGTATGCAGCACGTGATGACTCACGTGAGAAATCTCGCCGAAAAATTGGATGCGGCCAAACTTAAAGCATATTTGTCGTTGGAGTTCAGAAAATATACCAATGTGATACCGGAAAAAAATTATATGCCAACCTGTCACTGTAGATAAACAAAATATACTAATTTGGTCATTTAGCCCAGAGAAAATGATCATATTTCTGCCATAATCAGACTAATTGTGATAATCAAGTTAACTCACGTGTAGAAATATTAAGAAAAACTGTTTTTATTCCTTCCCCAGATTTAGCAGATGCAACAAAAAATTTTGCGCCAATGCTTGCTGCATAGCTGCATTCAGATACTAGCTAAATAATGAGCACCATTTGAAAAAAAGAATATTTTAGAAAAAGTATACATTAGAAACTATCACACCTTTCAGACTCTTGAACATCAAACTTTTTGATCTGACCATATCGCTTTTATTTGCAGCTATGGCAAAAATTATATCTTTTGATGCCTTTTGTTGTAGTTCTTTAACCTATTTTCTTACACGATTGAAGCTATCATTGTCTATGATGTCATATACCAAAAGAGCTGCTGCAACCACAAATTAAGGGACATAAATTGATGTTTTAAATTTCAATTATACATGATCACTAAAATCATGCATGAAGATCCTTTACAAATGGAACATGTTAACCAGAAGTATATGAAGTCAAATACAAACCATCCGCATCACGATAGTATATAGGACCCAAAGCATGAAACCGCTCCTGTCCAGCCGTATCCTGCCATCAAGCAAATGGTTCAATAATGATATATGATCATTATTATCGAAAGTGTTTCTTTGAAAAGGATTTCATAACACATAATTCTTTTCATGCATTTTCTCAAAAAAGATAAATCAACACTTAACATGATCCACTAGTAGAAAAACGAGCAACCTAGACGGAAAATTCCGTCTAGGTTGCTCCATGTCCCATCTAGGTTGCCTCACTTAGACGGATTTCCGTCTAGTTTGCTCAGTCTATTTTGATTCCGTCTAGGTTGGAGCAAACTAGACGGAATTCCGTCTATATTGACTAATCTAGACGGATATCAACCTAGACGGAATTAAGATAACCGTCTAGGTTGCAAACTAGACGGAATTTCGTCTAGGTTGTTAACTTAGACGGAATTCCGTCTAGGTTGCTACTGTAGCAACAGTAGCAACCTAGACGGAAGCTCTAGGTTGCTTGCTACAGTTTTTTTTTTTTTTTTGCAGAAACTGCGTTGCGCGCTATAATATCCAACACCAAATCATGTCCATATCAAACACAATCTAATTATATTCAATATCAAATACAATTATATTCAAATAATACATTCACCAAAATACTAGAGCGAAACATAAATTATTTACATAGACAATAACTAATTTTCACACGTCAATGATTTATACAATGAAAGAGTTCGCGAAAGCCATGAGAAAGGTAAATTTACAGATGTTAAGAGAAGTAGAGACAAAACAATATTATTCCCAATCAGAATCAAAGAAACCGGCATCCTTCATCTTATAATAGTATACATTCTCCAGACGCATGTCCTCCTCCTGTATCAATACCAGATAAAACAATTCAAATAAGAAACAGAAAATCCAATAGAACAAACCAATGGAATATAAAACATAAGCAAGCATAAACAGGAGAGAACAAAAGCTTCTCACAATTTACAAATTTTTGATGGTACTTCCAATGTTAAACACAAGTTTTCTACCTGATATTATATATTGCTAGTACTTCCAATAAAAAATCATAATTAAACAGTTAAAGGATGATCATTACTAGCTATGTTATATTCATCTATGATTTTATTTTCATTACCCGTTGGATGCTGCTAAAAATATTTTATCAGTTCAAATGTTCAAGGACAGTATGTCATGCAAGCTTAGTCTGCTCAATGATTCCTTAATTTTAAGAGACTTCAAAGAGAATTCACATGAACATGGGGGAGAACTGATAGATATACCTTGATATTTATCAATAGGTAACAAGAAATGTGGTTATAAATCACCAACCATGTAATACAAGACTTGGGGCTCAAAAATTATTAACACGCTATTCTGGGTATAAATGATTATCAATAGTTGGTCTACATATCATCATTTCTCTACCATCACATTATTTGTTAGAATATCCATCAACCTAATCAATATAAATCATACACATTGTTGCATTGCTATGAACAAAACAGCCAAGCAGTTGATCATATTTCAACAACTTTTGTTATTCTCACTTACCATTAGAGAATCCTGAAGGTAGATGCTCTGATGGCAATAAAGAAGTTCTGTAACTGAATGTGATCCATATTTTGCACCTTCCTCATCCTCAAACATCTAGCACTTCTCTCCGTTCGACTACAGGAAATTTAGAAAGAAACATCAGAACAAACCTACTAAACAAAACAATACATTTTAATAATAATGAGTGAAAGAAATAAAATGGAGCAAAGAGATGTATCACATAATTGATAAAATGCATGAAAACAGATGAAATAAATCATGTTGTTTTCACTAGCATATACCACTGGTAGATTAGATGTTACAATGTTGTACAGTTCCTTGTTTTCTTTCTGCCACTTCACTAGCATATACCACTGGTAGATTAGATGTTACAATGTTGTACAGTTCCTTGTTTTCTTTCTGCCACTCAGAACTTTGACCTGCATAAAAAGCTAGATGTTACAATGTTGTACAGTTCCTTGTTTTCTTTCTGCCACTCAGAACTTTGACCTGCATAAAAAGCGTGAATACAGTCCACATAACTGCCCATGCTCATTGAGCACAGTTGCTCTGTCCTGCTAAGCTACATGTATTCGCCATAACTTTATAACTACCTGCCAATTCTATGTACGAGCCATCCTTTTCTAGTGGATTGCTGATATAGAATGGATCATTGTTCTCATTGCTGATATAGAAAACCACAATGTCTGTTTCATATGATTTATAGCTAAAAAATTGATGAACTAGTAAATATAAACCAAAATTTAAAATTATTCATCTTAACGATCAATGCCTTAGATTGGATAAATAGATTTTGTTATCCAAATTAAATATATCATTCCTAGTAACTGAAAGGCGCCTGAAGATACTTCTTCCTTGATTAAAAAAAATTGTCGAAACAAAATCTGGACATGTAAAAGATCAAAGTTTTAGTCTATTGCATGCAACATTCCTAATTTTGACCGAAATTCAGATGAAATAATAATCAACCAAATTTTAACTCCATTTACTGCTTGCCAACACAATACACAGCTCGTACGCAGTTAAAACACTAACCGGATTGACATTAAAACATAACCTTACAAAAGACTTGAAATTTCAAATCAAAACTCCGAATTCGTATGTAGGATGCAGGAGAACACCATAAAAATCTAAAAAGGAATACTAATAAGAACTTCATGCCAATAAGGAAAAGAATACAGAACTAAATCCTACTTGATCAGATACAATTCAAAGAACCATCACAACTAAAACAAAACATACAAATGATCTAAGCTTTACACTATTGCTTGTAGCACTCCTAATTTATTAGACCTAATTCCATAGGAAATAACAAGGGCCCAAAATCTAATCACAGCTCGTAATCAGTCAAAACCCTAACCTGATGGACATTAACATTGCGGCTTCAAGCCAAAACTCCGAAACCGTCAAAACAAAAAATCACTCATTATAAGCAAGGAACTTCATGCCAATTAGGGAACGTATGCAGAACTAAATCCCAATTTATCAGATACAAGTCAGAGAAAAATCAAAACTAAAACAAAATCCAAACATGAAAACAATCTAAAGCTCTAATCTTTGCATGTAGCACTCCCAATCTAGAAAAAATTTCAAAGGAAATAACAATCTAGGCCTTGATCTCATCTATTTCACCTTGGGTCAGCATTTTCCGCAGTAAGAGCATCGAATGAAGTTGACGTGTCCACGTCCGTGCTTGTTCCTCCCTCCATTCCTGCGCTTAAAAGTCTACAAAGAAAAGTTACAGAAAACGATCAGGCCTAAATCGAATCAAATGAATGAACCTAAATCGAATCAAATGAATGAAGAGAGAAGCTAGGGTTTCTATCACTCGCCATGGCGGCGAGATTTGCAGAAGCGGTGAGGAGGATCGGCATCAGAGTTGTTCGAATTGTGATTGGTTAGGGTTTTGTTCGGCTGTAGAAAGGGAGGGAAGAGTTCGCCTTCTTGAGCCTCATCCGGAACCTGCACCTAGGCTTCGTCGGAGACTCGATGGCCCGCAACCAGCTCGAATCCCTCCTCCGCCTCCTCTTGACCGCGCGAGAGAGAGAGGGCAGGAGAGATAGAGAGGGCAGGCGGGAGATGTGGTTGTCGAGGTCGGCGTGGAGATTTGCGGGAAGTTTGAGAGGCAAAGGAGGAGATCAAATGCAGAGACGACTGAATGAAGAATTGGGGATCTGAAAATTTTTAGGGTTTTTTTACAGAGCGGTGAAATGAAAATGTAGGGGGAAAATTGTGGCGCCGGTCTCAAAACCAAAATATCGGACACAATCCGTCGAGGTTGCCAACCTAGATGGAATTTTCCGTCTAGGTTGAGACAATCTAGACGGAATATTCTAGACGGAAATATTTCCGTCTAGATTGTCCCAAACTAGACGGAATTATATTCCGTCTAGGTTGTTCCGTCTAGTTTGCTTGATTTTCTACTAGTGTGAAGAAAACCAACAAGACAAAATTATATGAAATTTGTATACAATGTCAAGACGTGAAGGGTTGGAGCGAAGTGTTAACTGCATAATTATCATGGATCCGTTTCAATTTGTTAAGATTTCTTCACTAGTATATTCTCTATCCCGGTATCTTAAAACCTACAGGTTTGGGAAAGTAGTGTTTTATCCTTTCTCGCTGGCGTGTTTTTCTTCCAAGGGTTTATGTCAAACAAAGAATAATCATCCATGATAATGCATAGAAAGCATTAACAAGAAATAAAAAGCCTAGGAGAAACATATAGGCCATGTTTGGATTGGGTATTGTTTTTAGTTAATAAGCTTTTATCATTTAAAATAAAATAGTAATGTGGGTGGTTCAAAACTTTGGGAGCATTAGATAGGACTATTTAGTCCTTTAAATTGAAATAGTTCAGAAACTTCAGACTAAATAAAGGGGGAAGAGGGGGGGGGGGGTTCAGACTAAATAAAGGGGGAAGAGGGGGGGGGGGTGATATTGTAGTAAGTATTTATCACTTGGGTTTTGTAGAAGTTTGGGGTTAAAATTAGGGTTAATCTCTCTCTCATAGAGAGATACCCCTTTTATAAAAGTACACTCTTACAAATAGGTCCTTACAACATTGACTAATTACTATTTAAATAACTCAACACTCCCCCTCAAGATGGGCGATAGATATCAATCATCCCCATCTTGTTATAAAAGATATCATACTCTCTAGAACCTAATCCTTTTGTTAAACAATCAACTAACTGCTCTTCTGATTTCACATAGCTCAAAGTCAGAACTCCTCTATTCAGTTGCTCCTTGATAAAGAACCGATCGATCTCCACATGTTTGGTACGATCATGTTGAACTGGATTGTTTGCAATATTAATCGCCGATTTGTTGTCACACCAAAGTTGTAAAGAGTCTCTTCTAAAGAAGCGCAGCTCAGATAATATGTTTTTGACCCACATCAACTCGCACAGACCAACTGCCATAGCCCTATACTCCGCCTCAGCTACAGACCTAGCCACCACATCTTGCTTCTTGCTACGCCAAGATACGAGATTGCCTCCAACAAATACACAGTAGCCTGTAGTGGACCTACGATCATCCATACAACCCGCCCAATCAGCATCACAGTAGCCTTCAATTCTCAGATGTCCAGAACTTCTGAACCACAACCCCTTTCCTGGGCTTCCCTTAATATATCTAAGAATTCTGCGAACTGCCTCCATATGCTGCTCTCTGGGATCATGCATATATCTACTCACCACACTCACGGCATGAGTAATATCAGGTCTCGTATGGCATAAATATATAAGTCGTCTAACTAATCTTTGATATTGCTCTTTACTCACTGGGTCACCACCCTCAGCACACATCCTATGATTTTTCTCGATAGGAGTAGATGCAACTCTACACCCCAACATCCCTGTCTCTAAGAGAAGATCCAGAGCATACTTCCGCTGAGAAAGCACTATACCCTTTCGCGACCTTGCAATTTCAATTCCGAGGAAGTATTTCAACTGCCCCAGATCTTTAACTTCAAATTCCTCTCCCAATTTCTTCTTCAACCGTAGGATTTCTTCAACATCATCTCCAGTGATTACAATATCATTAACATAGACCGCCAGAATAGTGATACGAGTTTTGGAGTGCTTGTAAAACACAGTATGATCTCCATTGCACTGCTTGTACCCTATACCACAAACTGCCAACCTAAATCTATCAAACCATGCTCTCGGAGACTGTTTTAACCCATACAAAGACTTCTTCAACTTGCACACCTTCCCAGCTACTTGAGAAGTAGCGAAGCCTGGTGGAATCTCCATATACACCTCCTCCTGGAGATCTTCATGCAAAAAGGCATTCTTGACATCTAGTTGATGTAGTGGCTGTAGGCGTCAAAAAATGCTGAAAGATATCCAAATACAGTTCAAAAGGAAGTCATCCAAAAAAAAAATCAAAGAAAAGACAGTCTTTACTGTCTCTCCGTGCGAGACAGCGTTTGCTGTCTCTCCGCGCGAGACAGCGTTTGCTGTCTCTCCGCGCGAGACAGCTTTTGCTGTCTCTCCGCGCGAGACAGCTCTCCGCACGAGATAGCGTTTGCTGTCTCTTCGCGCGAGATAGCTTTTGCTGTCTCTCCGCGCGAGACAGTTTTGAAATGGTCAGAAACCACCTTAAACAACTGCCACACACTTCCATTAACTGTCAAAGAACATGGGGAATGTCGTGGGCGAGAATCACGTGGATAACTGCCAAAATAACGGAGCTGTAAAATGTGGGAAGACAGTTACAACGAAAACTGCCAGACAGTTACTGTTCCCGAGACAGTATTTACTGTCTCGCGTGAACAGTATTTACTGTTCCCGAGACAGTGTTTACTGTCTCGGCCTCCGAGACAGTAAACACTGTCTCGGAAGTACTGTTCATCCTGGAGGCTATAAATACCCTCTGAGATCGATTTTTTGAGGAGGCTGATCATTTTGAGCACTTCAGAGCAATTCAGAGCAGAGAGAGGGCAGAGTACTCGAGCTTCAGCAACTCCTTGATATTCAGGCTTTGACTTGATTTCAAGAAGAACGACTATCTTACCTTGATAAGATATCGTTTCAAGTTCTCACTTCGATAAACGAAGTCAGAATCATAAACCCCTCACGATTCAATCAGAATCTGTGATTTGGTGGTCCACGGGCTAACGCACCCCCGGCACAGGCAAAGATCCCACGCAAGCAGCGATCCAAACAACGATCCTGCGTTTGTTTCTAAAAAGTTGTAATTTTCTGTTTGTTGTGTAAAAGAGGTCTTATAAAAAGACTATTTCTTTTGAATTTATTGTAATCGACCGAAGATATAATGAATTCCATGACAAAACCGACTTTTGACAAAAACAGTGGCCAATTGAAGTTGGCAGCACATGACACCAACACTCTAACAGTGCTCATCTTTGCTACTGGAGCAAATGTCTCATCATAGTCAATGCCATACGTTTGACTGTAGCCTTTAGCAACCAGTCTGGCTTTGTATCTGTCGATCTTGCCCTCTGGAGTTTGCTTAACCGTATACACCCACTTACATCCAACAGCACGCTTCCCAGCTGGCAGAGGTACCAGCTCCCATGTATCATTCTTCTTCAAAGCCCGAAGTTCCTCTTGCATGGCACTCAACCACCTAGGGTCTTGCTTAGCGACATGCCAGTTGTTAGGTACAGACACTGAATGCAATGATTCAATGAATGACTTATATGCAGGTGGAATGGATGCATATGAAATATAATTCGCAATGTCAGTATCCCAACTACCAAACTTAGCTGGAGGTTTTCCAGCATTAACTCTGGAGGTTCTACGAGGTAAGACGGGAGTATTAGAAGTATCAGGGAAGAACTCGTTACCTATCAGTTCAGGTGGAGAAGTCACTGGAGAGGAGGGGCTTGGGACATCAACATTTGTGGGCACTGGCATAGGCACAGGAGGCGGCTCATGTTGCTGTTTCTGTCTCCTCGTGTATACTCTCAGCTCCCCCTAACCTTGACTGTCACCTCCTGAGTCGCCACCACTACTCGGCGGTGTACCATCACTGCTCGGTGGCTCAAGAGGACATGGAATCATCCCAACCACGACGTCATTCTCATTCTCATTCTCATTCTCATTCTCATTCTCCCCCTCTCTACTAGCGTTAGTCGAGTCATCTCCAAACAAAGAACTCAACTCCGTCTTCTTCCCATAAAAATGTTCAAATTCCCGAAAAGTCACATCCATACTAACAAACAATCTTTTTTCAGTGGGACACCAACACTTGTATCCTTTTTGACTTGATGAGTAGCCAACAAAGATACATTTAACTGCTTGCGGATCCAGTTTACTCACCATCAATCTGTGATCTCTCACATAACATGTGCATCCAAACACTCTTGGTGGAACAACAAAAACATTCGAGCCCAAAAGCATCTCACATGGTGTCTTCATCCCTAATACTCTTGATGGCATCCTGTTGATCAAATAAGCTGCTGTCATAACAGCCTCACTCCATAAAAACTTAGGCACATTCATTGTCAACATCAATGAGCGAGCCACTTCCAGTAGATGCCTGTTCTTACGTTCAGCTACCCTATTCTGAGCAGGGGTGTCTGGACAAGTAGTTTGATGAAGGATTCCCTGACTAGAGATGAAAGCGGCAAACTCCTTGTTAACATACTCAGTCCCATTATCTGTTCGGAGAATCTTCACTTGCATTCCAAACTGTGTCTTCATATAGGCCAAGAAGTTTTGAAAACATTTATAAACCTCAGATTTCTGTTTCATCATGTATATCCAGACCATACGTGAATAACAATCAATGAAAGTAACAAACCATCTAAAACCACTGATAGAGGTAGTAGGACATGGTCCCCAAACATCAGAATGGACAAGTGCAAATGGTTCACAACTTCGAAGACCAATCATTCTATAAGTAGAACGAGTATGTTTTCCAAGTTCACAGGCATTACAAAATAACTCTTTTCTATCCACTTTCTTCATTAACTCAGGTTCTAATCTATTTAAACTCTCAAAAGATAAATGCCCTAACCGGCAATGTTGAAGCATCGCTTCTGCCTCTGGCCCTCCGCTAACAGCAGCAGTAATCATTGCTGTCTCCCTGTCCAAATACCAAAGACCATCACGTCTGCTACCAGTCCCAATCCTCCTCCCCGTTTCCTTCTCTTGAAAGACACACAAATCTCGATCAAATAACACGGTGCAATTTAATTGATCAATGAGAGAGCTAACTGAGAGTAAGTTAACTGGAAACGAAGGAACATGCAATACTGATGACAAGGTAACAGATGAAGTGCAATGGACCGAGCCAGTACCCCTGATGGGTTGGGATGTCCCATCAGCAGTCTGAACTGTCTCAGGATGCATATGCTTACTCGGATAATATAATGCAAACTCACTAGATGTTCCTGTGACATGCCTAGATGCACCTAAGTCTATGATCCAATCAACATGAGTTTTAGTGGATGCAAGTGCCTGAACCTGTGTACCTTTGTTCGCATGAGCGTAACCAATAAAGTTACCAAAGCATGTAGTGGTAGCCAGATCCTGGGTGACTTGTCCCTTGCCCTTCGAACTCTCAGCCTGAAGCTTGAACAGACGTAGTTCCTCCAGCTCTGTTATTTCAGCTCCAGTCATCCCAACAGTAGTCTGAGACTCATCTGCCACAGCTAGGTGAGCAACTCCTTGGCCTACACGCCCCCTGCCTCCTCGACCTGCACGGCCACCAGTCTGACCACGTTCACCCCAGTTCCTTTCTCTGGGTGGCTTAGGGCACATCTGTTTCAGATGCCCTACCTCTCCGCAGTTGAAGCACTGCCTAGTCTCCCCTTTGAATCTAGTGTTATCCGGGTTGGATACCACCAGTGCATACTTCTCCCCTGTAAGTCCACCTATCCCAGACTGTAGCCTGATACGGCTCTCCTCCTGTATCATGGCCGAGACTGCCTTCTCCAGTGGTGGGATCTTCGTCTGGGCTAGTAACAATGCCGTCCTCTGCTCATACGCTGGAGCCAAACCTCGGAGAAACAACATGGTCCTCTTCTGCAAAGAGGCCTCGCGCTCCTTGCACTCCGGGTCCTTGCAGTTCGCTAGGGGCGAGAAGTGATCGTGATCGAGCCACAAGCTCTCTAACTCTGTGGCGTACTCCTGTACAGTCCTCTCTCCCTGGACTATAGCGCCGATATCCTTCTCGATCTGGAATACCCTCAGGTTATTCAACTTCTTGATGATCTCCTCCATCGGATTTTTTCAGTCTTCGTCATCGATCCAACTTGTATTCTTGTGGTGCGCAACGAAAAAATCCGGCAGCACTCCGACAGCACAACAAGAGAGATAGATCAATAATAATTCCTGTTTCACCAAGGAAACAAGAACCAAAAGCAAGATATCTCAACCAAGTGAGATATCAGCTCTTCTCTCATCAGTTCTAGGACTGACTTGTCGAGGGAACCTAAATAAGCTATTTCTCTCATCAGTTCTAGGACTGACTTGTCGAGGGAACCTAAATAAGCTATTACAAATTAAGAACCAAATAGATCTTTTAATCAAACTACTTAATCACAAAAGCTATTACAAATTAAGAACCAAATAGATCTTTTAATCAAACTACTTAATCACAAACCCCATCTTTTAAGCTGATTCTATACCAACAGTTGATTCCTCTCTCTCTCAGCAACAAAAGAAACCCAAACATAACAATCCAAAAGCCAACAGTTGATTCCCCTCTCTTTCTTTTTTGATCAAAGGATTCCCCTCTCTTTCAGCAACAAAAGAAACCCCAAACAGAAGATTACCACCCGAAATTTTCTCTCTATAAAGAAAAATTGCACAATAAGAGGTTATACTTAGGCGGTTCCAGCACCACCCTTGCCCTTCTTCCTCTGGCGCTTCTTCATGTAAAACCCTAGTTCTTTCCCTTCAACGGGGCAGCTCAGAGAATCCAAAGCCTCGACATCAGAAGGGATCCAAAGCGGGCCTAACCCCGATCTGTCGCCTTCATTCTTTAGCCGTCATCTTCGAAGCGGTTCACCGAGCAGCCTTCTCCGAGTTCGTTCTCGAGCGGTTTCACCTGAAGTAGCCTTCTCCGAGTTTGTCTCCGAGCGGTTCACCGAGCAGCCGTCGTCTTCTTCAAGGACCTTCTTCTCGCCTCCTCATTCTAGCGCGGCCACCGACGCTGCCCGAAGACGAGCGTCGCCGACCGGACCTCAGGGAGCTGGAGATCTTAGAAGTGGAGGAGCCGCCTTCTTCTCCTCTTCAATTCTTCAGCCTCCACTGCGTGAAAGGAAAAGGTAGAGGAGCCGCCACTCAGCTCTGATACCATGTAGAAGTTTGGGGTTAAAATTAGGGTTAATCTCTCTCTCATAGAGAGATACCCCTTTTATAAAAGTGCACTCTTACAAATAGGTCCTTATAACATTGACTAATTACTATTTAAATAACTCAACAGGTTTAAATATCGAAGTACCCTATTATCCTTTAATTTCACTAATCAGATTTTCATCTCTAATTATTTCTTTACTATGTCGCGGTCAACTACAGATGACAAAATCAAATCAAACTCACAACAGGTTTCATTCATCATGTAGATATAACCATTATTATAATTTACTTTTAGCATATAAATTCCATTCAATGCTTATTTCTTTTTAGCATATTAATTCCATTCAGTGATTATTTCTTTTTAGCATATAAATTCCATTCAATGTCATTCTTTCATCTTAATTTTCCTTTGGTGTCTATATATGACATGTTATCATCGCGACTTCAATCCAAACTAAATTTGTCATTCGTGCTTTGATGGATTTTGGTTTGTATTTTTTAGTATCTCAATGAAGAAGTCAAAACTTACTTGGGCCTTACCATCCAAAATACTTTGAGACTTTGTCAAAATTCGCTCAGACTTGATCAGTGTGCATAAGGGCATTTTCAACATTATAGTTACGGCCTTATCATATATCCTTTATAATGACAAGTTTCTAAACATGACATATATATTAGAGATGCTAATAACAAATTGAGCCAAACAAATTAAAAAAAATTCAACTCACTATAGTCACCAGGATTATTATACCCCGGGACTATAGTGAGTTAAATTAGTCCGGATATAAAACAAGTCCCTAGTCCAAACATGGGTCATAAGGCGACCGGGATAGAAAGAATAGATGACAAAAAACCATAGAAAAGAAAGAGGATGACCATAAGGCAACCGGAGATAAAACTAGTCCCTAATCCAAACATGGCCAAAAGGCAACCGTGGCAGAAAGAATAGAGAACAAAAAACCATAGAAAATAAAGAGGAGGACCAAGGGAGGGGAAACGTCAACTGGTAGAAGATATCTTGCATGATGCTTGAGATGAGGCGCAACGATGCTTCATCAACAAGCGATGACAGTCGCAAGACAGTAATGATAGCAGTAACAAAACCTTCATTTCAATAATGACGAAATTTTAGGATTGGCCAATTAATCCTCAAACCTTTAGTCAATTAGGCAGCGTTTGGCAAAGGGATAAGGAGGAGAGATTAAAGAGAAGGGTTAACTTAGTTAACCCATCATGAAGGGTTAAATAAATTCTAAACCCGTTTGGATACGATAGTTAAGACAATGGGTTAAGTATTTTGTGTTTGGCAAATGAAGAGGGGTTAAGGAGATTAATCTCATTATTTTTTAAAAAATACCACTTTCGCCCTTATTGAAAATTTATAAATAGTTACCTCATCAAAAATGAAAAAATAGACAATTTGTTGTAAAGAATGGCAAAAGAAGTGATAAATGCATAAATTTCATTTACCGAAAGTTAAAAATTCTATGTAAATCTTATCCTCTTTGCAAATAGACAGTCTCATATCATACACAATGTAGAGTAAACTTTAGTCCATGTCTTGCAATTTCAGATAAATCTCTAGCTACTGGCGCATCTGGGAATAAAGCATTTGAAGCTACAAGTCATGGATCTGGGAATAAAGCATTTGAAACAGCAAGTTAAATCTGATAACGGACAAGGGTCTTAGCAAGCACAAAAGCTATTGGTCGGAGCATGATTGTTCCATTGTGATACATGCATGGTCAAATAGGAAAAATGGATAATCTGAAAAGGCATCTATCTTCAAGTGCATGTATAAATGCATAATGAAACATACATTTCCCATGTATACTAAGAACCCCATTATTTTTACAAGCTGCAAACAAATCAATATTTAGGACTGAAATAAAATATTGACATGCAATGAACTGTAACATTATGAAAACAAGCTGCTTGCATTATGTGACTAAAATATTTAGGATCAGAAGGAATGCATATTAGTCCCGGTAATTGACTACAAGTTTATTCCAAAAAAACTTAGCAATTAAACAAACTTTCAAGTTATCAACAATAGGCGAAAGCATGCAATGAACTGTAACATTATGAAAATAAGTTGCTCGCATTATGTGACTAATCATCCCCGCTTCATTAACTGCAATAAGCAAATCACTTTAGTAGGCTCTCATTGCTACAGATAAGAAAACAAGACATAATTCAATCTCCTTATACTTTAATATTTGATAACCTGCTGCTATCAATTACTGGCTCCACAGGATGTGGCTCTCCATTCCGCAAAAATGCTCTGGCATATAGCTCCCCCGATGAAGACATCAAATTATCAAAGAATTACCAAAAGGACTAGTAGAAACAGCACAAAGATTTATGGCTTTAATTCCAAGCTCCACAAACTAAAACATGGTCACACCTGTGGTCTTGTCTTCCAGTCTGATAATGCACTCCTGTCCCTTGCTTACGACCTTTAGTGAACCCTCCCAGTCCCATTTGTTGACATTCCATTCATTGCACTCCTGTCCCTTGCTTACGACCTTTAGTGAACCCTCCCAGTCCCATTTGTTGACATTCCATTCATCGGCCCTGACTAGATATTTATATCCAATAAAAAAGAGGACTTTTTTGGAAGGTTTCATATAAGCTGAATGCTGAGATGTGTATATAGAACTTAGAATACATATAAAAGATAAGGTTAACTGAATATGAAATATGTCAATCAAATAGGAACTGAGGCATGCTCACATAGATCATAGTCACAGTCTAAAATTATGATAAAAAGGTTTAAGCAAATTTACAAACACTTTCTGAAATATAAGAAGAAATCAATACACATAATCAATAAAGTAGAAATTTAATGTTTTAGCACATTTAACCTCGTACAAGCCTGTGAAGTGATCTCAGAATTTCTTCAAGACATAGTACAACAGTACAGTGCTACAGAAACTTACGTCGTTTATAATGATCCATGCCCTCATCTCTTAACATAACTTTTTAATTGTGATCAAAGAACTATGATATGCTCATCTAAAATGAAAGGACTTACGGTAAACCTTAAAACTTAATAGGTTGAGCTTGAACTATGTCTAGCTTTCATGTCAGGTGACATTTCTTCCAGATCTCTTCAGGTGATGAAGGTACATTGGAAATGTTCTTGCAGTTACTTAACATACTCAACAGAGTTTCTAGAAGACCTTGTTGATGGTACGGTAATTTTCTTCCCTGTATGTCTGCATCTAATTCAAATAGTTCAAATACTTGTACTTTGTGTCTTTGTCCTTTTATACAGTCCCATGAACTGTGTTTTCATAGTTTTATGATTCTCACTAAGCAATGACCACAATGTGATGGGAAAACCACTCAATTAGGCAATTACTTTCCTTGTAAAGAGTATGTTAAGCCTTGGACACTCTGACAGGAGGAAACATCAACTCCGCTTGCATAATCACACCGGTTATTTATAGAAAGGCCACTGAAAGTAGATCAAAATACACTTTCGATTTAAAGCCAAAAGACTGATAGGTACTAGCCAATGGTAACGGACCATGGCCATGCGAACAGCGCTGGACAAAATGGTTGTTACTCACGCCTTAAATATTTATAAAAAGGTTGGTCCCAGCCTACGTTGCATGGGTATAGGTTACAAAATGGCTGTTACTCACGCCTTAAATATTCGATGCGTGTGGCCTCCAAGTTAGGTAAAATCAATATCTTGGACAATATGTATTTTCCAACAGAAATAAAATTGGTGATACGTTAAATGTTTCTGCAAGATAGCGTTCCTTATTCCTCCAATCCCCCCTCTACCTACAGCCCAAGTGTCCAGTGCAGGCAAATAAATTTTAAATCAAACATGCATACCACCCTTCTGATTGTAGAAAAAAACTAAACAGAAACATAAAGTGAATGACAATCGGTGGTTTTCCACTCCTGAATACTAGGATAATTGCCACATATGATGTTCTACGTGGAGTACTTTTCATATTCCAAATTACCAAGGACAAGTTCTCAATATACTAGTCCGATGATTTTAGGCGGGGAATCACCACTTTGGCTCTTCATTTAATTTTGCTATTGACATTCAAACTCAAGATGGTGAATAGATAATGGACTTTGTACAACGGCACTTTACATAACTACAATGAAGCCAAGGAAAAAAGATATTGGCAAGCATAAGCTTTGTTTAATTGAACATGTATTGCATATGCCATGATGTTTATATAGAGGAAAATTACCATCTAACAAATATCATTAGCACACATAAAGGGGAAAAGAGAGAATGAACTATGAAACTAAGAATAAAATGGAACGACTTACCTCCTTAACAATCTTGCCTGGACTTTGTTTCTTTTCGACGCAATATATGTAAATGGCGAGAAGCATGAACTCGTGCATCTCTAAATTTTAGTTAGAACCTTAAGCGAAGCAACAAAACTATGAATTATCAGTGGAGCATGCTAACTGGCCTCCCTTAACTACCTTCTGAATATTTCTTATGAGCAAATCTAAAGCTCTATTCTTGTAACCAATCTCTCACTAGCAAGGTAAGAATAGACTCTACCTCGCTCTTAGTCTCACCTCAGACCCAAATGCAAACTCAACATCACAGACAAAAATTTACCCAATTGTACGCAAACTGAGGGCCCATAACCCCTCAGCCACATCAAACAATTTTAAGCTACAAGGATAAATTGCAATAAACAAGATCAAATCACTTCTCAAATTTACAATAGAGTAAATCGTAGAGAAGTGAACCAACCAAAATTTAACCACCAATTCCTTGTCAAACACATTAGCTAACAGTTCTAAGGACAAACAATCATCATGCAAGACCTAATTCCTCTCCTAAATTGGGAAATTTTGAGCCACAACAAATCATTGTCGAAGACAAAATCAAATGACAATTAGTACCAAGAAACACACCTGTAAGAAGCGGCGCTCTTCCTTGGAGGTATCTACACAAATCGAATTAAAAAAGATCAACAAAAATTAGGAAATTGATCGAATTTTGCTGAAATCGACAAGTGGGATTTGAAGTCAAGAGTTGAGTACCAAATACACGTAGAACTCGTTAACTTGAAAGAGTATCAGTTCAATAGCTTCTGATTCCTCTCTCTTCTTCTTCATAGTCTTTGTGATGATCTAGGGTTTGATTGCATTTTTCGTCCATGAGCAAAATAATGGGAATTATGACTTTGTTTCTTTTTTTACTGATTTTTTTGAGGATTTTGGGGGGAAATTGTAAAGGGAAAGAAGTAGCGGAAAGCAATTTTTTTGTGGGAAATCTTACACGGATCTCTCAGAAGATTATGGAGAAATTATAGAGGGAAAAGGGGAGAGGAAAATCAACGTACCTTTAAAATTCCGTCGGCTACCCTCGCGTGAGAAGGCGGAACAAGCCTTGTTCCACGTATCTAAGAGGAATTGTTAACCCTTCAATTCACGGGATAAATGAGTTTTATCCCTCACGTGCGGGTTAACTAACCTGTGAGCTTTTTTACCTGTTTGGCAGGCTAATGAAGGGTTAAACCCCCTTAACCCTTCATTTAGCCTGTTGCCAAACATAGCCTAAGCATTAACATATCCTTCTTAAACACGCGTGCAAGATCATCTGTGCTTACCTCCAATCTAACTACATCCTTATCACGTCCCCTACAGAGGCGCCGTTGAGGCGGTTCATCCGGTTCCGCAGAACAGGGCCCCCCGCTTGGGGGGCCCCCCCGCTCCTCTCTTTCCTCCTCCCTTTCCTCCGCTCCTCTCTTTCCTCGGCGGGATCAGAGCTCTCACCGTCTTCGCTTTCTCCTCCGAGAATTGGCAACGTCCCAAGGTTTGCTTCAACTTACTTCCTGTTCCCCCCCCCTACCATCAATCGTTTTGGGATAACCCCCTTTGCTTTGCTTTGCTTTGCTTTTAACAGACAGAGATTGACTTCCTCATGGCTCATGATGCTCTTCGAGAATGTTCTCAAGGAAAATATAACCCACTTCTTAAGGTAAAACCACCCCCTTTTCTCCGCACTTGCAAATCTTTCCTTAAAAACGTTTTATTCATTTAAACATGGAACTTGCACCTTATGCACCTCAACTGTTTGTCATAATGCTACACAGAACCATCTCCATTGCTTTCTCTCAACACTAATTATTCTCAAGGTTTTCTTTTTTCCTCTTTTACTCTGCGATAATATATGGAACCTCCTCCTTCTGCACTTCAAGTGCTTGTCATAATGCAACAGATAACCACTTTTCAGCACAACAGTTACATACTCCTGAACATGATTCACTTTCCTCAAATTGTATCGTGGAGTAATGAGGTCCAGACAATTTCTTGGAGCATCCAACCTGGAAAACTAAAAGATAGTGGAGCTCTTGCCTCCTGTTTGTATTAAACACAGATTATTTGCTGTTGAATTTGGGTTATAATTTCAAGTAAAATTTACTCGAACTAAATGGCAAATTTAATTTAGGCGAGATGAATGGATGTATTGGAATTTTGTATGCTTTGTTCTTGATTTTGGATGCCTCGTTCACAATCTTAGTTATTACGCCAGATAAACTTTTCAACACTAATGAAGTGTTATTTTTTGTTGGGAGGTTTTGAATCATATGTAGCTTCAGTATATATAATAACTTAATCTCTTGAATGGAGTAGTTATAGAAATGCCGTCAGAGCGCGCGGCGGGGAGCTTTAAAACAGTTCTAAAAGAAACTCTCACAATAGTAATCGTTTCTTAGCTCTGCTTCTTGTCTTTTATATGAACTAGAGTCATGGATCATTCTGTTTTAGATAAAATGTGGGTACGATACAGAATAAATTAAGACTCAGTGTAAAGTATCTACCATCATTTTTTAAGTTCTGTATCTGCAAAAGAAACTTCATTGCTTCTGATTGTGCTAATCAAGCAGAATGGAGTTGGTTTTTTAAGTTCTGTATCTGCAAAAGAAACTTCATTGCTTCTGATTGTGCTAATCAAGCAGAATGGAGTTGGTCTAATGTGTGAATTAGATTTCCTTCTATTCATCCTCTGGACTAATTTTATGTGAATCGATTATGCCATCTGACGGTCCAAGCCTCCTCCTCCCTTTCCTCCGCCACCTTCCCCCTTCACCGTCCATCGTCTCCCTGTCCTCCTCCCAAATTTAGAACAGGGCCCCCGAATTGTCAGCCACGCCTCTGGTCCCCTAGAGGCCGGTCACCTCCTAAAACATTGCGGCCGGGTCATCTCAACCGACCGTCACTTATTTTATCCTTGATAGGCACAATCTTAATTTTTTTTTTACCAATTCACTCACTCTTCTGTGACAAATTCATTCACCCCCTCTTATTTCCAAACCCGTCCAAATTTCACTGAATTTACGTTGGACCTAAAATACTCATTATACAAAAGTGTTGTCTCAACGCAATACAAACTTAACAACATGTACATAGTTTGGCAAGAAAGAAAAAAAAAAAAAGGTAGCAATTACATGTGTTTCATTTCTGTTGTTCAAACAATTTCTATTTGGGTATTTTCAGTTCTTTAGCCCTTTTCATTCAAGTACAAATTTCACTTTGATTTCAAACTGCGGAAACGCATTACGGATTACGAGTTCACGCAAATTACACAACGACCGAGCTAAATCAAAAGTAAAATTTATCCAGATTGCCAAAGATTCTGATTTGAAATTTATCTATGGAGCTTTTCGGTTTCTGAGGGATTATTCTTCAGCGTTGAGGATTCAAGAGGAAGGCCACTGTAATGAACAAAACTCTTGGTGCCCTGCGATCGCGGGAATTTTTCACGGCGGTGTTTTCGGAAGTGCTTGGGCCTTTCTATTACGATTGCCTATGCACAAAAAACCTAGTCTTTCTTGTTTAGGCCCACCCATGCCCACTTGTAATTGGGCTGCCATGGGCTTTTGAAAACAAACTTCTTCAAAATATGTCAAATTGATAAAAATCAAATTTGGAGTTCTTTTTATGGACAGGCAATCTTATGCACGAGTTTAGTTTTCAATCGGCCACTTTTCCTATAATTCTATTGAATTTATATCTTAACTATCCAAACTATCCTCACTAACACACGTAATTAATGAGGATAGTTTGGATAGTTAGGATATTAATTTAGAAGAAATAGACCGAAATCAATTGATTACAAACTAAAGTCACTTTATAAGGTGGTCTGCGTATTAAAAAAAGATTTGAAAAATAGTTTCCACCAATTTGATCTTTTAGAAAGATAGTTTTCATGAGTGAAAACCCTACTTTTTAAATGATTTATGGAAGAAACATCTGACATATCCCATACTTCTCGTTCTCACCGGCCAGCTGATGGAAAGGGACCGATTATCAGAGATATTCGTGTTACTTCGTCTATAGTTGTTTGTACATGAATGCGTGAGTTATACCGAGTACTCGGTAAATTATGGACAACTTGTCATTTTTGAGCCCCACTTATATCACATTTTTTGGGGTAAAACCCACCTATAACACATAAGAAGTACTTTCATTGTTTTTTTTTCCTTTATTACTTTCATTGACATAAAACCATATATATTTCTTAATGGCTAGGAAAAAAATACTAATCAACTAAATAGGTCATATATTTTCTTTTTTATTGGAAAATAAACCTGAGATTTAATGATGTTTAGCTCTATCTATAAAGAATGCTTGAGACACAACAAAAAATACATATTTCTACACTTATTTTATGACACATATAAAAATGTTATTTTATTTAAAAAAGATTAAATAATAGTGACGCAACTAAAAATTATGGTAAATCACTGCACATATTTTTATCATTAGATGTATAATTAAAAAAGGCTAATGTGGTCTAGCATTGTGTGAGGATCTATTGATAAACTTAAATAATAAACTTTATACTTTGATAATACTGATGATTAAACATTTATAATTGTGTATAAGCTAAACAACTCCATAGTTAATTGTGCTTTGGTGATAGCAATTCTAGGATGGATGACCTTCTCGGAAGCTATAGTGTTGAACGAATGGTGATATTCTTCATGTGTGTGTGTGTATCATGAGTTTGTAATGTCACAAGTTTTGCGACACATTCTCACATGTGTAGAAAGACGCTTTACACACATGTTCTACTCACGCTTTTGGTATTGTGTCACGCTCTATTTGTGCGACACAAAAACGTATCACATTGAGAAAAAAAATGTATCATAATTTACAGCTTTCGTTACAGTGAAGTCACACTTCGAATTCGGTAAGGCAAACACAGAAACAACAGGACAGATGAAGGGAGATGCATATTGGTCCTTTACTAGTGTATGTTTTCTTCCATAATTCTTTCTTATAGAGCTCATACTGCTTTCTTCACTTCCACGTAACGCTTGAGGTCTCAAAGCACGAAGATTTAATAAACAAAGAAAGCCGACAGGCACCCATAAAAACACTACCTTTTTCACATAACTTGCATGCTTACCCCCTGCGTAATGATTACTCGCACCAAATTAACCCTTCCTTTTTGCATGCTTAATCACCACTAACTCCTTCACTGATCTAACCCAATTTTAAAATTATTATCTTGTACATCAAACCTTATACTAATTTGTCTCTTATAGGAGCCACACCCCCACTTATTGAATGGACTCACACCATCACCACCAAAATCTAAGTGACGGTAATGAGTATGTTTTGTGTCAAGACAAACTAATACTAGTGTTGTTTTAGCAAAGCACCCGATAGGTGCACAAGTATTTGATTTTCTCTTTTGGTTTAATTAAGCTTTATTTTAAGCTTCAAGATCTATTCATCCTCCATACAAAATCTAAGTGTAATGATGAAGATCTTCTACGTGCGTAAACATGGGGGTCTAGTGGTCTACTCACTTTCCAAATGAAAATAGAGAAATTTTAGTTTAGGTCCCTGGTATTTTCAAAAAAATTCTTCCATAAAAATGTTGTGGTATATATAGATGTAGTTAGAGTGAAAAGATTCTAAAATTCAGCTGAATACTAAAGGGAAAAAAAACCATGAATTTAGAGGCTGAGCTAATGTACTTGTCGCCTCCTTGCTAGAACAATTAAGCACTATATATATCGCTCTCTAATTACAAGTACAGCTTAATTTTTTTTTTACCAGACTCGTTAATATACAGCAAGTGGTAAAGTTATTGGTTGTGTCTGGATCTTGGTTGATCCCAGAATATGGTAGTAATGAATCCAGAATTTTAGGTCAACTACTGTTAGAAAAACTTTATAGTGTTATGAGTGTGAGCTTTATGTTTTGAAGTATCTAGAGGCTATGATGATGTTTCCTCCCAAAATCCTGCATCTTTTGCTCCTCCACTAACAAAAGCAAATAAAAAGAGGACCAAAAGCTTTGCCATCTTTGTGCATGCTTGTTGAGTTCTATAAGAAGGTGCAACTACAATTAATTAAGCAATGTCATCCTTTCA